GGGCTACAACCGTTTATAGAAAATTTACAGCTTTTCTACTTCTAAGTGCACTCTCTTCATTGATATGACCACGATTTWCATGAACGGGTTTACCAATAGTTCCCTTCACAGTTCCCTGCGCCATCTTGAAAGGTAGCTGTGCCTTTGCATCGAAGCGAGATAAACGGTGAGCTTGCAATKATAGAGACATGTAAAAAATTGTTCAAGGTGTTAAAAAAAGGTCTCTATCATTGCAAGCTTCGATGCAAAGGCACGGCTACCTTTCAAGATGGCGCAAGGAACTGTGAAGGGGACTACTGAAGATAGTCTATTGGGGATTATCATCATCATCATCATTATCATTATTATTGTTATTGTGAAGTAACGCACCTGCTTGTTTTCTGCTTCCAACTGTAGAATTCTTTGTAGCAAACCGCTGTGCGTTTCAGCTTTTGAGAAAAGAAGAACAGTACTTTTGAATTGATATCAGCATCAAACATAACCGCAGCATTTAGGTAGACAGGAATCGGTTACACTATGGTGAATTGTGAGCAAAGTCGACAGAGTTCTCTATCTTTCCAAATATTTTCAAACAGAAAAAAAGGAAAAAGAATAGAAAGCTTCAGTAGGTATAAGTTTCAAGTCTCACATCCAGGTACTAACCTCGCTCAACCGAGCTTGACCCCAGTATCTTACCAATAAAATAGCCGCGAAAAAAAATCCCCAGATACTCGCCCTCATGGCCTATGAGTCAATAGCCAATTCCGCCTTCGGCCTCATGGGCTATTAGCGACCTTAATCTTTTCAAAATCTACGACGGCGACGTCAACCGGAAGTGTAAATAATTTCTCTTTGGGGTTCTGTTCATTGGATATTTCATTTCAAACATTGTCAGTAAAGTCAACTCATCCACAGGGAAGACAGACTTTGAAGACGCCCAGTCCCTAAAGTGAAGTTATTTACACTTCCGGTTGACGTCGCCTTCGTAGATTTTTAAAAGCCCAAGGTCGCTATCAGTTCATAGACTATTGGCGCTCGAGACTAATTGCTAAATACATACATAAATCTTGACTGGAGTCATTCACATTTGGAATTTCAGTCTTAGCTTCAATACGACACTGGACGCCAACTGACGACATCTTGGGGTTTTCGCTTGTGTTGGAAGACGAAGAAGTCCTGCAATGATTAGAAAACAAAATTAGGTAAACAACTGGAGTCGTAAAAATTATCAACGCTCTATCTATCTGGTGCACCTTTYGAGTAAGAAATTTCTTTGTTGGACCAAATCCACTTGGTTGTAATTTTTTTCCCATAACAGCAACTTAGCCGTTAAACAAAGAAATGATAGT